AGGTGGTTAATTTATTAAGGATGGAATTGGATGATATGGAGTAAATGGGTACGGTTAATACCCATGGATGTGTATACAGGTATATAAGGGTATATATATATATATATATGGATTAATAATAATTATTAACAGTTGAATTATATTTTTATTCATTATATAGGGTGGAATATAATTCTAGGGTTTTATCTTTTTATTAAGCGCCAACTTATACATATAGTTGGTTTAATTGTTATTTCGTGGTGGCGTCTCCTCAGTTGATTAGAATTAGGTTTTCCTATACACCTATAAACATATGGTTTTAAGGTTGAAAAACAAAACACAGACCCTATTCACATTCAGAGATATTGAGAGAAAACAGAGAGATGTTGTGAGGAAAACAGAGCAATCTTGGTGAAGGTTTTGGCTGTGGATTAGGCTGGACTAAGGAGGAATGTAGAGGCTCTATTTGTGGAGGAGAACCGGAGCAGAGGAGTTCTTGACGGCAATCATGATCGCCGGAAAAATTTAGGAAGACAGCAACAAGGTTTTTTATTCAAAAACCATAGAGGCAAATTCTTTCCTTTTTCTCTCCCGTTGGCCTGTGTTCTGTGCATCCTTAGATAGTCTCTAGGGTTTTAAGTGATCCTTAATTAAATTTTACATGCTTTTTATATGTTAAATCAATTATCTGTGTGCGTTAAATTACACTGTTATAGTTCTTGCATCTCTGGTTTTCAGTTTGGTTTAAAAGCATGTTAAATCGGTAACGGTTTTAATCATTATAATTGTTTCAAACTGGTGAACAAGTCATGGGAATGATATTGGGTATAAATAGGATTCTTAGGTTCAATATTAAAGATGAACAGAAGGTTGGGAATGGTCGGAGATGAAGCTGATAAGCGAAACGGAGCAAAACTGGACAGAGGAGGCTCTCAGAGAGGGAGAGCAGGCTCTGGGAAGCCAAGAGCAGGCTCCCACTCCTCAAGAGCAGGCTCCATGGTGCAAATAGCCTGCTCAAATTGAATTCTACTTTAGTGCTTATGTGATTGCTAAAAAGGGTTTTGTTTGTAATAAAAACTAATTTTAAACTAGATGATTACAATAAAGAAATAGAGTTTAAGAGATTGGAAAGAGACTTAGGGTGTAGGATTCACCACTAAGCACATTCCCTAACTCACTAACTTTCAACTAATTGGGGAAATAATACTATGTAATCTATATGTGACTAACAATTGCAATGAAGAGTGTAAACCATCAATTTCAAGCATGAATCAACTACCTAATGACAATTAAATAAGTGTAGTGCAATTCACTAATTCAAAGCATGATTCATCAATCCAAGTTACAAATTTAACACACATTAATCTAGAGGATATATAATTGTGACAATAAGTATGGATTTCAAACAATTGTATGGATTGTCTACTTACCTAATAATTAAATTGCAATTAAATAATTTACCTTAAATTAAACTAATCAAACCTGAAATTAAACTATTTAAACTAGACATTAACCTAATTATGTAGTACAACCCATCTAATATAAGCAATTTCCATCAAATTAGAACATAATTACATCAAATTAATACAATGCATAACCATCACATGATTCAATTCACAAAGAAATCAAGTGTAAAGATCAATTATCATTCAAAAACATATAAGACAATATAAGATTGACAAAGATAATGAATTGAAAGAATTATTATATATATATATCAAGGCTATAACAAAAATTACATAAATTAAATCCCCAAAATAATAAAAGAAAGAAAAGTTAGGTTACATGCTTAGGGTTTATCCAACCCTAAGTTGAAGAATTAGCCACTCATGGTTGATGGATGCAAGATGTCAACAATGCCCATCCTTTGATTCATCTGGCTCCTCTTCTTCTTCTCTGAACTTTTCTCAAGAATCCTAACTTTTTTTCTTTTTCGTGTTTTCTAGAGAGAACGTGATATCACGATACAGAAAAATTAAAATTAAAATAAAATAATAAAAACTCCCTATTAAAATAATGAAAAACTAACTCTAAAAAATAATTGGCTTGTTTCCCTTAAGTCTAAAACCTTATTGGAGCCCATATGTTATAAAAATAAGCTCAAAAGACCAAATCCCGTAGCCATCAAAAACAGGTCAAACTCGTTACTTCAATTGCTGCTAGAAGCTTGGCGTCCGGACGCAATGCATTCTTGCTGCATTTTTCTACTATCTTCTGGAATTTTATCCTGATGTTTTAGCTTGACTCAAAAAATGCGGTAATGGACCGATTTAAACCCGTTTGAACTTTATGGTCCTGAAATGCACATAAACATAAATTAGGACTAGAACATAAAAATAAGATAAATGCAAAGACTAAAATACCCTAACTTAGGTGCTGAAATGTGCAATATTTAAGTACTTATCAATTTTCATTGAAAATATTTAAGTAAATGTCTTTACAGTATTTATATGTCCATTTACTTTAAGTTGACAATGTAAATAAGGAAGTACCTCCCATTTGGATTCAATAAAAAAATTAGAAAATTGAAATCCAACTAAATCAAAATATAGAAATTTAGTTTTAGTACAAATTTGGATTTCCGACAGTTTTGGTAAAAATGAATCCTTATGTAGACCAATATAGACTTGGTCCAAAATTCTGATAAAATCAGTTTAGGCTAGTTGAAGTATAAAGAGTTATTACCGGAAAAAAAATATTTTGAAATAATCATTATTACAAAAATTAATCTTTCACACTTAGCCAAAAACACAGTTTTTCATGACGTGCATTATGGGGTCCTAATATCCGTTACCAACTTATGGTAATGAAGGCTTCTCATGCCTTAATTGTTGACCAATATGAATTATATGATTGATGTACATAGTCTTAGCATTTCTAGCACGAGTAATAAGTTCTTTCAAAGCTTATACAAGCTTGAACTAACTCACTCTTTAGCAAAGACTCCATATGTCAATTGTATATAAATGAAGTGCATAGTCTATTGCTAATGGATATAGGAGCATATGAATGATGATATGATATGCATGGTCCTATAGAGATGAGCTTTAAATGGATTCATAAATACTTTGACATTGAATCCTAAACACTCACCATCCTATCTATCCCTTTCTTCATGCTTTGTCCATGATCGTGTAGGCTTTCAGGTAGACTTGCTTTCTTCCTTTCTTTAAGTTGCTTTCTTGCTCATTGTAATCCAAGCTATCTTTAGATAGACTTTGCATTTGGTTTCTTGCAACTTTATGTTCCTTTTGTCTCATTTGCTTTCCATAAATGTGATCTTGAGTAATGGAATACTTAGAATTGACTTTATGATCTTCATTGAGGTCATCATTTGAATATGAATAATTTATAACACTCAATATAAACATTAGTCCTTAAACACCATTAATGGTTTGTTATCATCAAAACCTCTAAATTGTCCTTGAATGAAATCCTTAAGGTCAACAAATATAATTAGAATGCCTGTATTTAGGAGATTGGTTTACGTATTGTCTATAAATAAACAAGGAAGCATGTTGTACTAGAGGTCCAGCACCCTCAGAATCCTTTAATTTATTTGTTTGCTTCCTCATGCCTTTCTTAGAATAGCATTCTTGCTATTTCTTCTTTCTCTCTATCTATCTCTCTCAATCTCTCGCTCTATCTATTTCTCTCTCTTACTTTCTCAATCTTTCTTTCTATATTCTTTCTATATCTGTTTCTCCCTTTTTCTATTTTCTAAACGTTACTATAATTTACTCAATTAAAAGTCTTTTTAACTAAGGCAATTATTGAACTCTAAGAGGAGTATAAATGTTCTCTTTATTCTCGCATCATCTGAAAGTCAACCTTCCAAAGAGACTACAGTTGACTATTTACAATCGAACCATACAATTGGTTCTGGCACGCCCGTTATACATCAATTTAAGATCGGCTCTAACCGGCCGATTTTAGAGTCAACAAATTTTTGTCCTTAAAAGTTTTTAAAATGGAATTGTATTTGTCACAAAAAAAAAAAAAAAAAAAAAAAAAGAAGACATAATGAATCTTTTGAAGAACAGTATCTGACGGTACGTAAGTGATAGTAGCTAGTGAAGATTAAAAGGAATGAAATTCGAAGCAATAATCATAATAAGGTTAAAGAAACTTAACACATAACCCTTTACAACTACCACTAGTACATAAACCATGCATATGTACTTTATGAGTACATCCTCGGCCGGTCCCCGCCCCATCCCGTTTAGGACGAGTTTTGGGACCTTTTTATGCAAACGGGGATCAGGTAATTTTTGAAAACCCGACGGGGGCAGGGGCGGGGGCGGGATAGGGTAACCCGTCCCGTCCTGTCCCGTTTAAAGTGTACATTTATTAAAATATCCTTATATATTATGATATATTACTAAATTATATAAAGTTTATATATAAACATACTTATGAGAATAAGAAAAATTATTTGTTAAAAAAATAATAATGTATATTAAACGGGGATGGGGGATTGCAGGGCGGGGCAGGGAAGGGGAATGGAGGACGAGGGCGGGGTCGAGTACGGAGATTAACCTAAAATTTTAAATCAAAATGAGATTGAAAAAAATTACTTGGATGGAAAATGAGATCCCGGCGTCCCTACCCATGGTATATAAACCATTCCACGAGCCTAAATAAGTACTTTACCAAAAAAAAAAAAAAAAAGTAGGGGTATAGTTGGTATAGTTGGCCCTTGCAAAGCTTGAAAAGCCAAACAATTAAAAAAATACATTTTTTTAAATTTTTTTGTCGTGAGGGAGATGTTTGACAGCAAGCTCTCCGAAGATTCCCTTCCTTGAACGGTCTCGTGATTCTTCACCCAGGATATTCCACTAATATATACTTATAGAGAGAGAAAGTCTATCTGTATACATAGAGAGAGAAAGTGAATAGTCATCGGAGACAGATGAAGAGAGAGGGTCTTTGATCTTATCTGCTTATAACCGGTTACGTCATTGCCAGCCCACATACAAGCGACGAATGAGGAATCACATCCTCGAATATTCAACCCACCTCCTTTTATATACAAACATATATACTTTCTCTCTCTATATATATCTCACGCAAAAATACACTTTCTCTCTCTAAAAAACCCATCAAAGATTCGTTTGCCGTACGCGACGCCCCGCCTTCGAATCCCTCCTCCCCCCATCCTTTACTCTTTCTCTCTCTAGAAAAATTTTTCTTTCTTGGATCTCAAGTTTATTCCATTTCCTGATTCTACATAGATCCCTTTATGCTTCACCACTTCTCCGACCCTTTTCCCATCTCCGGATCTATCTATGTTGAGACAGATTTTCTCAATTTAATCTCTTAAATTTATATAATCTAAGTTAATCGAAGTTAATCAACCATGGACAACAATTACACAGAGAAAATGCAGAGGTTTCGTGACTATATTGAAGCTTTAGAGGAGGAACGTCGGAAGATTCAGGTCTTCCGAAGCGAGCTTCCTCTGTGTTTAGAGCTCGTCACTCAAGGTACACATTCTCTCTCTAGATTAATTTCTCTCTCTACAATTAATTCGTGATGGATTTTAAATTTTCTTTTTTTGGGGGGTTAATTTCAGCGATTGATACATGGAAGAAACAGTTGTCTGGGACGACGCCGACAACGACTATGGAGTTGTGTATTGGGCAATCTGAATGTTCTGAGCAGACATCAACTGATGGCCCTGTTTTGGAAGAACTTTTTCCGGTGAAGAAAAGTTCATCTTCTGATGAAGAAGAACAATCTCAAAAACCCATAAACAATAGAATCAATCAGGACTCGGACAACAAAAAAAATGAGAAATTGACAACAAAATCGGACTGGCTTAGATCTGTTCAACTATGGAATCAAACCCCAGATCAACCCATCAAAGAGGTATATATAAATATGAATATAAAATTTCAAGTATTTGGGTTTTGATTTAATTTTGTTAAAGTTGGGAACTTTAATTGATACAGGACACACCCAGAAAGGTTTCAGTGATAGAGGTCAAGGGAAATCTTAATGGTTGTGGTGCTTTTCAGCCTTTTAAGAGAGAGAAAATGGGTGGTTCACCCTGTGCAGTGGCTCCGTCTGCCACGACGAGCTCGACGGCGGAAACAGGGGGCAGTAGTGGCGGTGGTGGTGGTGATGATGGAAGTAAGAGAGAACAGAAAGGAGGAGGACAGTCTCTGAGGAAGGAGAGGCGGTGCTGGTCGCCGGAGTTGCATAGGCGGTTCTTACATGCCCTTCAACAGCTTGGTGGCTCTCATGGTTAGTAACACAATAAAATTTTAATAATTATTTACTTTTTTTTTAATTCTGTATCTGTAATGGATTTTAATTCTATCGAGTTTGATTGAATTTGTGCAGTGGCTACACCAAAGCAAATTAGGGAATTAATGAAGGTTGATGGGCTTACAAATGATGAAGTGAAAAGCCATCTACAGGTTGGTGTTTATATGTGTGTATATTACTGTATCTTTCTTCCAATGTTGCTGTTGCATAATTAAAATAGAATTTTAGTGGTTGTGACAAAATTATTTATGAAAAGTTTCCATTTTGTAATATTTCATCTCTAATTTGGGTCCAAAATAGATGATACATTGGATAAACATTTGAACAATGGACATTTGCCATTTTATAGATAAGAATGTGTTTGATGTTTTTGGTAATGACAAAACCACATCTTTACACTTATCTGAGCTTATATTTTGTTTGGCACTATATATCATGGTTCCCCTGAACCATACGCGACCGAACCATGCTATATATACATGTGTCTAAATGTAACCCTAAATTTGATAGACATGGTTAGGGCTTGTGCTTGAATAGTTGAATGTACAAGTACATCAATAATATTCCTAGTCTCCAAACATGACTGATAAGAACTTTGAATTTTTTTGGTGAATAATGATTTAAAACAAACATATGACCTAACACTTGCTCGAGAAAACTGTTTTGAGAGAAAACTATAAAATACGGAACCAATCATATCCTAAATTTCTCTTGTAGATATCATTTGCATAGTGTCCGCAGCCTAAAGTTTTAAATTTCTCTTACAGAAATATCGTTTGCATACAAGAAGACCAAGTTCTTCAAGTCAAAATAGCAACCCACAAGCACCACAGTTTGTGGTGGTGGGAGGGATATGGGTGCCACCGCCAGCGGTGGCATCAACAACAGCATCAGGGGAAGAACAGGGAGTTGCGACTTCTCATGGAATTTATGCACCAATTGCTGCACCACCACCACCACCACCACCACAGAAACCACCACTATGTCTCCCTCAAGTAGCGGAGCAATCCAAGCAATTGCATTCAGACGAGAGGAGCAGTGACAGCGAAGGCAGAGCTCATTCTAATTCCCGGTCTACATCTTCCTCCACGCATACCACCACGGCCTCTAGTGTTTTGGTTCCTGTTGTATGAAAACTTTGGAAGAGGGTACACATGTAGAAATGCTGTAACAAAACCATACATGATGAATACCCTTTGTAATATTTAGATGTAAGAGATGACAGTCGAGAAAAATATAGACATTTTTTTTGTGTTCTTTTATTCCTTAATTTCACATTGTTGTTTTTATGTTACTAAATTGGAGATGCATTTGACAGTGACAATCAAATAAGATGGATAAAACATTATAAAAATTATAATAAGATGACAGTGTCTATCTCTCCATTTTAATAAAACATTTCAATTCAAGAATTGTTCTCAGTTTCAAGAGTCCGAATCCTCTAATGTTGTAGTCTAGCAGATGGCTATGATCACTTAGAAATGTGATTGTGCCATGCATACAAGTGATCGGGATTGTCCGATATTATACAACACGATTCTGTTAATAAAACTAATCTGACCGACCTTCAGTTTTAAATCTTCATCCTAAAATTAATCTGACCAAGTTCCAAGTACTAAATACCCTTGAAATTATTTAGATTATATTACATAAAAACTCTAATTCCCAATTGATTGTGCCACCAACACTATAGTGATTTTGTTTAGAAAAGTTATATAATTAGATAGAAAAGGAAATAAATGATTGATTTATTATGAATAAAACAAAAAATAATTAACTTGTATATAAAACCTAGAGATAAATAAAAATATATATATTAACTTTTTTACATTTGCACTACAATTTTAAATGAAATGGCAATTCTAACTCTAAATTATTATTTTTTTAAAAATATTTTTATTGGAGAAATTACCTCTTTTGTCAATATTCCAAATATATATATAAAAAAAAAAGTACAAAAAAAAAGAGAATTAAAAAAATTATCTCGAATAAATTATCTCTTTTGATAAGACCAAATATATATATATATATATATATATATATATATATTTCTATTGAATAAATTACTCTTTTGACGGGACCATAAAAATTACCAAAAAAAAAAAGTTACCTATTTTGGCCGAAAAAGATTACTTTTGTTGAATAAATTATCTATTTCGATTGTACTATATATATATATATCACTATTAAATAAATTATCTCTTTTGATTGCCAGTAACTTATTTTATTTGAGACAAGCAGAAAAAAGAAAAAAAAAATAGTAAAAAAAAAAAAGAAGCTAAAAGTCATGTAATCGGTAGTTTTGTCATTATAAAATAAAAAATGATCCATTAAGAAGGTAAATGAAATATAATTTTAAAAAAATGAAGTACGAATTATTATAAAAAATCACATTTTTCTTCCAAACGAATGAATGGATCATCATCATCCTATTTTGCAGTGGTTGGTACAAAAACAAAACATTTGGTAACCACTACGGTCAATTTTGAGCTCAAATTATTCAAATTCTTTGGAATATTAAAAGATATCATATTTTAATGGTTTTGTTAGAAAGCTCAAAGCTTGAAGAACAAGAAAAGGAATTAATTCAAATTTCCACACGTCATCGACAAAGTCTAGATCCACCCACCATATATGGCCAACAATCAATGACAACATCAGAATCTTGGCCTCTGAGCAATCTTTTCCTTTAAATCCTTGTGTGTGTGTATAATGTGTGTGTGTGTGTGGGGGGGTGTGTGTGTGTGAAAGTATAAAGCAATCACAAAGTTCAAAGTTCAAATCTGGTCGAAGTCCTTTTTTCTAAGGCAATAAAAGGTGGTACTTACCAAGAAATTTCGGTTACATAGAAGTTACTTTTCTAGGGGAACAGCTAGAAAATGAAATTGTGACGTTTCTCTGTAATTTTCACTTTTCACCAAAGTCAAAAGAATACTAGTCGATGGTCAATGAAGCAATTTTGAAAATCCGTGACAATACTTGCTAGGAAAATGTGGTGAAAGCTTCTTTAGTAAACTCGCCCTTGTCCCATTAGATTTAGTGACGGGTGACAATATTAATGAAGACGTAGGATTATTGAAAACATTTTTATTACGGCATTACTTTTTACATTGTACTCTTTTTGTTTCAAGAGTCAAATTTTTTAAAGTAAACATCTTTCCCATTAGATTTAGTGACAGGTGACAATATTAATGAAGACGTAAGATTACTGAACACATTTTCGTTACGGCATTACTTTTTACATTGTATTCTTTTTGTTACAAGAGTCAAAATTTTTAAAGTAAACATCTCTATTTTGAAATGAAAGAAGTATAATAAATATAGTAATGACGTAACGAGGGTCTGCTTAGCCTCTCTCTCAAAATAAATGTTCACTTTGAAAACCGTGACACAAAACACGGGTTATAGTTTTCAAAGTGGACATTTTGAAAGATAGTATGTCATTTTTTTTCAAATTCATCTCAAAACACAATAACATCATTTAGTTGTGGCAACAAATAAATGCATCGATGTGAAAAAGTAATTTGATTCAACTTAAGAGCAAAAAATAATAATGCATAATTGCTAAGATTAATGGATTCATTTGACCAAGGCAAAAAGAGATTCTGATTTTGTTGAATTTGAACACATTCTTTGCAATAATTATAAATTGTATGGTACTTCAAGAATTTTTTTTTGCATATTGTAATCATGCTTTTTGATTTCAAAACCTAGAGTTTGCTTCATTCACAAATTGAGAGTCTACATAATAAAAATTTGTTTGCTTTAATACCTTAATTTTCCTTTTTTGAAAATCCCTCAATCCTAAAGAAAAATAAATTAAATGAGATGGGAGTGTCATGTTAAAATTGTTTAAAATTTTATTCAGTGACATGAATATTTAAAAAGTTTCTTGCTTTATTAAGAAGTGAGATCACCCACTCAAGAGACTTAGGGCACTACCTAATTAAGCATACTTCTCACCTTTTGGTTGATTGAGGTCTATCCAATCAGATTTGTAAGATTGTTTTTTGCCTTTTAGTCTTAGGTTTTTCTACCAAAAAAGAAAAAAAAAAAAAAATGAAAATAGAAAGCTACCCTGAACCACGTCATAAACGAACAGTCTAGGGGTGCACAAAGAACAGGTGGAACCATTAGAAACCGGAACCAGTGCTTTGATTCCGATTCTTAATAATTCCGGTTCCAATTTTTAAGAACCGTTGGAAAAGTTTCCAATTCCAGACTTCGAAATCAGAACCACAGAATAATTATGTTTTTAATTATATAATTACTAATATATATGTCTGTTGATGTCTATAAATATATATATATATATATATATATACTCCCTCTGTTCCAATTCAGATATCGTTTTTGGGGAGTAAGAATTTTTAAGAGAACATGTGGGACATGTCTTGTCTTCCTAAAATATTACTAATTTGCCCTTTTAAGTTTTGAGTATTCAAGTTTGAAATTTTAAACTCTAAGGACATATATAGAAAGATGTAAAATATATTATTTGAAAAAGAAAAGTGATAATTATTTTGAAACAGACCAAAAAAGAAAGCATGATATTTTTTTTTGGATTAGAGGGAGTATATATATATATATATATATATATATAGTTGGTACTCACACATACCTCCACTAAGATTTGAATCCCTAACTTCTCTTTTAAAAGTAATGACTTAGTACCGTTAAGTCATTAACATATTGATATATATATATATATATATATAAAGAAACCCGAACTGTAGAACTAAGAACCGGAATGTGGCATGGTATAAGGATTTTAAAAAAATAATAATAATAAAAAATCTGACCCTCCCATTATGCCATGGCCTGTTGTGATTGGTACCACATTAGGTAACCCATCCCTTTTTTTTGCCTGGGATGCTCCTTCCATTGATTAAGACGTGACATATACCATGTCTAGATACAAACAGTGCCAATAATGTGGACTATTATCATCATTTTAATTACTCAAATATGCCGATGACTAATATATAAGACAAATTTTTGTGTTATGTATATAGATGGTCTATTTTTTTATTTACGACAAAAATAAATAATTTTGTGCACCGAAGTATATACTCTTTCGTGACAAAAAAATAGATAGTCTTTCACCAAATATATTTTATGGCGAAATCTATTTCATTGTGAGATCAGTTGAGAAAAATAAATTTCATGTATCGATTTGAACCATAAATGTATTTTAAATTTATAATTAGATATGATTCTTTATTTATTAGCCGCCCCTATCCGAATATTCCACGCATTAGCAAGCATATACACATAAAGTACATAAGTTACAATAATTTTATGGAATTATATTATGAAAATATGCATGTTAGTTGTTATCTCACAGGTCAATTTCATTTTCCTAGTGTGTTCTCTATTTGTTTAACTTATCATCACTTCAATGATGAAGCATATTCTCTATTTGTTCAACTCATATTTGCAGACAAGGACAACAAGAGAAAGATATTCTTATCCTCCAACCTAATCTTTTGCAAGATTCTATAACTTATTTTATATATTTTAGCAAATTCATATATACCCGTATGAAATTGATTGGAGGTATATTTGGGAAACTACCAACCCGATGAGTGGGCCCTATACCATAGATAAAGAAGCTGCCACGTCACCTATATACACGCACATATTGAATCCCTTCCATAAAAAATAATGCATTTACGTGAAGCGATAAATTGTAAGTACTAATTTTATCTTTTACTGATATGCATCAGTGTCATTGTCCGCATTATATCTAATAATTCACTGAGACAATATATTAAACTATTTTTTAGTTATAATGTGTATTTAAATTAATTTTATAATCCGTAATCGTGTAATGTTAATCAATAACCATGTCATGTAAATGAATCACTCACACTAATATCATACAACATTGTTATTAGTGTATGTCTAATATAGTAAATTAAAAATAAAAGTGTTTTAAACAATATTGATACCAAACAAATTTATACATGCTTAAGTATAAAAATACTTTATAAAATGCATAACTAAACAAATAACATGCTTTTTATTGACAGCAATTTTGTGACGCTACTACTAAAAGCTCTTTTATCATTTTAACAGCAATTCCAAACGAACAAAACAAAGGAATTGAATGTTTTGTTATTTTAATCTTCCAATAGGAAGAAGAATGGACATGAAGGGGTATTTTAGACAAATACTAATTGCGATTGTTCGTTCTCAATCGTTGAATATTGCCGACTATAAAATCGATCGGTATCATTCGAATTTTGGAGTGTCAATAATTCACCACCATGTCTGACAAATTTTTACTCAAAGACGTCCCTTTGAGTGAATCAAAGGCCAAATGTCTCTTAAAGTCTCCTTTTAACAATTAATAATATCGTTCGGACTTTAGAGACCACAATGCCAAAGTCAATTTGTTTTCATTTGTTTGATGCTGCAAAGTCGTTTGGAACCTTTCTAGATTTGGAAGAATATTTCAAATTTTCAATGACCAAACTAACTCTAGTAAACATTTTGCTGGGATTTGTCAAGGGGTGTGTATGTAAATCACTCTCGTCAACATCATGCTTCATAGAATAATACCAAGAGCATTCTGCATGTTGTGTGTGTGTAAATACACACACATACTCAATGTTTTCTCCATTAGAAACCAGATCTCGTGTGAATTCATTCATGGTTTATGATTAGTGGTTATTCTAAAAATATTGAAAGAACAAAGAAATTGAGCGGATATGCAAGTTTTAATATTCCCAATTTCACATGCAACGAGCTGCGAATTCCTTTAATTAGAACATATTCAATGGTTTTGAATATCTATCTTATTAGAAAATAAATGAGTATATATGAGTTGAGTATTAATCTTACTTAATAGTTTAAATTTTTAGGTCGAATTGTAAAACCCAATACAATTGGTACTAGGTGTCACGTCAAGCTTTTAGATCCGGGTCAACATATAAAGTAAACACGGTGGCCCGATCGCAACGAAAGCATTGCTGACCCAACAACGACTTGGATCCAAACTCTAATCAGATGAATGCTTGGCGTAACGCAGAATCCTACTCGAATGGATGCTAGGCATGACGAGGGATCAAAAACTGAATCCTACTCGAATGGGTGCTTGGCATGTGTGGCTTTTACAGAACATTTCCACATGAAAGCACTAATGAGTCAATGACCAAGTACTTGGACCATCATCTTTTTGCTTCTCTAACTCATAAACCTTTTTTGGGTTTTCGAAATTTTGTGATGATTTCATTCAGAGTGCCCCCAAAATTATATATGAAGGGGACAATGTATCATCTTACTCAACACATCCCGAGTAATGTAATAAAAAATAATAATAATAATAATAAAATCAAATACACACAATTTAGATTAAAAATATTAGAAAAGAGGGTATATCTCTGTTGCATCCAACTAACCATTCTTTCATTTACACAATATAATCAATCCATACAACTAAAAAAAAAAAAAACCCTTAATTATAAAAAATTAACATGAAGCAAAACCTCGAACAATCTCTTGCCAAACAAGAATTGAAGTTTGACATCCTCAAAAATGTAGACAACTGCATTATAATGCATTCCATGGCAAACAAAAAGTCTGGAAGCACAAAAAGCTTGATACCTTTTGGTTCCCCAAATTGAAACTATGGTAGACTATACAGGATTTTGTACATTTTAGGTTTTGAAAACAAGAGCTCTTTCCCATCTTTGTGGATGATAAGGTAGAAAACTCACTATTCTTTTACCTTGCGGCAATGGCAAGTCATCATCGGAGGGTATCTTCTCTCGCCATACAAATTCATTCTCATGTTCATACTTCCTGATCAAACCAGTAACATCGTCAATTTCCTTCTTGAAAACCAATCGCCACGACTCCTCCCCTGGTAAATTCTTTTGCGCATTAATCAACGCACGACGAAGAACTCCAACAGCAACACCAACCTGACTGGCAATCTTCAGGTCTTCTGCAAGGTATTTACAGCTTCTTAACTCGTGTACGGCTTTGCAAGATGAGATGAAATCCTGCAGAGAGCAGAATAATAGATCCAAACAAAGATAAAGACGAGCCCCTCATCCAAACTCAGAAGTATAAATAATGGTAATGATGATGAATGATAGTGTTAGTGGTGTGGTGGTTGCATGAAGAATTTCATGTAGACCATGAAAGCAATTGAACAACTAATACCAACCAAAAAATTTAAACAACTAATTTTTCGACAATAAAGTACCAAAAACTGTTACGATTCCTCAAGCGAAAGGCATAAGCATCACGAATTGCTATTGATGGTTATCAATATATATATTATTTATCTCACAATCATGGTATAATAAAGGAGGTATTGCTTGGTGCAATGGCAATAACTCGGGCTACCAAGAGTGAGAACCGGGGTTCAAATCTTTTGTGCAAATAAGGTCAAATTTTAAACTCAGACGGTCCTTCCTACATCCATGATAAATGCACATATTTTGCAAGATAATAGCTATGATAAGATTACCTTGGAATCAGGAAGTTGAAAATGAGGACACAAAATTGTATCCGTCTTTGCTAAATGATGAATGCCATTCATTTTAAATGACTAAAAGAAAGAAAAAGGAATAGGAAATCAGATAACATTTGGTCTTCCAAAGAGACCAGAAAATGCTATTTACTGGCAGGAAGATAGGGGAATTAAGAAACCAAAATCAAGACATAATGATTGTAACCAATCAAAAGTTACTTCACACTTCCTCTTTTACTCTCTATCTTGGAGCCTCTGTGACACTGTTTCCAATCCAATGCTCTCCCTCCCTTTTCCCTTGTCTAGCAAAAAGATACTCGCTTAGCTCGGGATCATTGTCCCCATAATCTACCCATATTTTCTATGGTCTTTTTTATTTATTTAACTAATTTGTAAAAAGGCACCCCCTGCAACAACAGAAACCACAGTAGTAGAGGAATGACAATCAGGGGCCACCAACCAATAGAAGAGAAGAAAGATTGATACAATTGTCCACGTGCCAAAGCTCTCTCATGACATTCGGGAGTTACAAAGCAGTGGGTCCCATTTATGTCAGTAAAGTTGAAACTAACAAATTGGCAATTGGAAGAAAATTGCATTAGTATGCTGAAGCAAAACAAAGTATAAAAGCTTAAAAGATAAATTATTCTTCCAAAAAAAGGAGAAAAAATTTATAGAGGAAAAGCTGAGTTTATTTTCACTAATATCTGGGCCATTAATATGGAGTTCGTCTCACCAATCTTTCATTTGTGTAGATGACACAGTTAATCAAAATGGGCAACACAGATGGTAAATATTAGGAGGCAGAAGAAGAGGAAGTGAAAAGAAGGAAACTGGAGGGTTTGAAGGAAACTGGAGGGTTTATCCTTCCACTTCTCCCCAAAAGTCGGGTTTTCTTCAAAGACGACTCAAGTTTTTATACGTCATCTTTCATCCCAGTAAAGTTTCAGGTTTTCATCTGATTCAAATACTCTGATTCTGTTAGGAAAAGATCAAGTACTGTGTTGCTTTCATAACACCTATGACTTTGTGTTAGACGCAAGAATGATTTCAACTAATTAAGGGCACTGCTGCAGAAAGATGTAGAATTTCTCCTTTCAGTGATTCCAAATTTCATACTCAGACCCATTAGTTCATTGTTTATTTGTCTTATAGCATAAAGAAGTGCACTAATGATATACATTATATGAAAAAAAAAATATTTGAAAGAAATGGAAGGGCAGAACCCACAGGTACAAATTTTCTGATTTATTTTTTACGATGAAATATGAAACACTGTTGGGAGCTTTAATAATGTTCCCTTTTCGAAGGTTTGAACTATACAGGTTACAAAGAGAGAGAGTGTGATGAAAATAATCATGAGTAAAGCTTTACAGTAGATCGGCTTAAAAACTTTTGTAATATTTTGTTATATTTTCTAATGGTAAAAATAAATTTGTATTAAATATTAGCAACTGTACTTAATGGAAGCGTAACAGCATAACGGAGGACTATACTCTATTTAAAATCAGTATAATTATACTAATAATATACTTATTGATTGACTACTAATGTGATATAAATCTATTACATATGCACACAACAGCTAACCAAGCAGAATCGATCCTTTTAATCATAAAAAAAGGAGAGTCAACCCTAGCCCATCTTCAAACTCAAACAAAAGGGCTCTTTTTTCTTTTCTCAGGGTTTACTTTGGCAACATTTTGATCCAAGCAAGACTCTGACCTGCTTATTGACAGTCCGAAAAAATAAAAAGGTAGCTCAGCGCACGAGGCTCCTGCCACTACAGGGTCTAGGACTCTGGGGAGGGTCAGATGTAGATAACTTTAACTCCGCATGCGGAGAGGCTGTTTCGTTTTCCATTGTGACCTCTGCACCAAGATCCGCCCTCAATTATAGATTGTGTATCTTCTCCCCAGCATTAATTATATGGCTATTATTAACTCATATATTTCCTCAGCAGTCAGCACAATTCAATCCAATACCAAAAGGACGGGGCTAAACTAATTTTCATCACTATTTGAAACAAGGTCACCTGACTGAGGCTATGGATTTGGATAAAGCGGAATAGAAAAATTGGATTAATGTAGCCGACCTCAAGTAGTTGAAAAAAAGGCTTTGTTGAGTTGAGTTCTAAAACAAAGTCACTTGCCAAGCTGGCATATAAGGCATGAATGAACTATAGTTCTTTACATTCTGGGTTATGGAATAGAGCAACTAATAGCCAACAAATTAGACTGAAAAAATTACAAATGTAATAGTAAAACCTCACTAATATAGGCTCTTCGGGTCAGAAGAAGATTTAAGGGAACAAAATGGCAGAGAAAGAAACAACTTATAGGAATAAGATTGTGAATTTATCACTAGATCGCTAGATCCATTTGATAAGATTCCGAAAGCATAACAAGAACCTACAACACATAAGAATTTTACAAATAATAAGAAAGAAAATAAACCAGGACTCTTAACAACATATCATCTGGGCTTCATTTATTGGCTAAAAAGAAAACATGAACGGCGACGCATGCACCATTCCACATGCTTGAGACTTGCATTCCTTAATCTTTGACAAAATGATGCAAAATATTTCTTACCCAAATCTTATGCAAAATTTTTACATTGTGGCAAGCAAGAACGACCTTGATTACTCCAACCTACCTTGTGGTCGTTAGTGAGGTTATGGATGTTAAGTAATACTGCTAGACATCTTTTATACCCTTATCTTATTTAATAATATTTTAATTAAAAAAAAAATGTCAAACCACAAGACTATATTACCCCCCTTTTTTTTTAGGGTTAAGTGCAAAAAAAAACCCCTCTACTATAGATATAATGCAAAATAGTCCCTGTGTAGTGTAAAACACCCCTATACTATTGATTTGGTGCAAATAGCCACCTGGAGACTTAAAATGACGATAATACCCTCATTTCAGTAGAATAAATTAATAAGTATAAATACCAGCCATGAAAAATGACCATTCTGTCCAAATTGTGTAGGAGTTTTTAAAATGACCTTTCTCTCCCCCTCTTTTTTTCTCTCTCCACCCACCACCACCACCAACTACATTTTCCAAACTCAAAAACCAGGAACACAAATCCAAACCCAAACCTACACACACACATATATATAACCCAAACCCATTTTGCACTTCCACCGCCATCACCACTGCCACCAAATCCAACCCACAATTATCTTGATCCAACATTAAGAGAGGAAAGTTCCATGAATGCACTAGAGCAAGAAAAGAGGTCGTAAGTTCTGTTTGAGTGTACTTGTAAATAAGTCATAATATATTTTTTTATACTAACTTATTAATTTGTTGGAGGCATCACCAATTGTCATGTTAGAGGCAGTAATGATAATATGGATGGAGATGAAGTATAAGTAAAAAGAAAATTAATTTCATCCTCGTTTCTCGCGCATACAACATTTTTAAAAGAGATGGGTTTGATACAGCCCATGGTTTCTCTCTCTAATCTCTATATAATATAGCGTGTGTGTGTGTGTGTATACACCGAATATAACATTTGGTTTACAAACCCCAATTAGTGGAATTGGGACGAATTGATGAAACCCTCTTGTGGGTCACAAAAGAGATTCGATTTTCTCGGTGGAGGACAAATTGATGAAACTGTCTATGTGTATATCATCGCTGCTGAATCAAATCGCTTGTTGCAGAGCCTCTTCCATTGCGAGGAATGTGAGAGAAGAGGGGCGATGGGGGTAGCGGTGATGGTGGTGGTTAGTGGGGGTGGCAGCCGAAAAATTGCATCTCTTGATTATCTACCCTCTCTCTCTTCTGGTTCTCTCATCAATGGATAGAGACTGTGTGTGAGTTTGATTGAGTGAGTGATGGTGGAAGTTGTTGGATGAGTCAGTGATGGGCTTTGAATTATATACACGTGTATACTTAAATATATGTATATGTATATATATATATATACACACTTTTAGGTATGGCGGCGATGGGGGTTGTGGCCTGTAATGGTGGTGGGAGGAGGTTGCTCATTGGTGGAGAGGAGAGGGGGGGAGAGAGAGATGAGGGACAAAATAGGAACAAAAGGGTAAAATCGGATTTTCGTATTTACTTTTTGCCAAAAAGTGGTCAGAGGGGCTTATTTGCACCTTTTTTTAATATTATGGACTGAAATGCACATTTTCAAAAAGGAGGGAATTATTGTGCACATAACCTATATTACAGGGGGATTTTCTGCACTTAACCCTTTTTCTTATTGTTTTTATCAGTAAAAGGGGGAGAGGAAAGTCGCTTCAATGGACTACCAAACGACGTCCTCATCGTTTCCTTCGCTGTCCCTTGCCAAAAACCCAATCCTTCCGACGATCTCGACCCCAACCACCTTGAGGTGCCGAGCCGTCTGACCTCTTCAGCTTCCTCCTCAAAGGAATCGTCTCCAAACCCTTTCAATTCATTTGCCAAATCATTGCTCCCAAGCCTGTGTTGTTGTCGGTTTAGGCACTTTACGGCGATTCATCCTGTTCATTGTTTGTTTCCTGAGTAAATTCAAAGAAATTTGCTCTTTGCGGATCGAGCTTCCATCTTCTTGCCACGGTGGTGATGACTCGCTGTTGTAGTGGAAGGTATAGTTTGGGACCAAATCAAGAGCTTCTTGTTTCTCAAGCCTACAAGGCTATGCAAAATGGAGTAATTCAATGGTGGTGGTGGTCGCAATAATTCAATTCCCCGAGTAAATTCAAAGAAATTCGCTCTTTGCAATTCTTGTTTTCCTATACTAAATACAGTGAACAATCAAAAGTAGGGTTCATACGAATGAATGGCCATGAATGATTCTTGGAATCGATCAGCGTATGCTGAGTTGGGGACTTGAATTGATGGAGTTGGATTTAAAACCTTTGAAGGTTGGAACGAGTGGGAAGGTATTGTTGTAATTTATGTGGATGATTCAGAGAGAGAAATGGAAAATTGCAAAAACAGGAGTTGTGAATTGGAACTGAGGACTAAGAAGGGACAGAGATGTGGCGATTTGAGATTTTATTTTATTTTTGCTCATGGTGATTGGAGATTGACGAGAGAACTAGTGAAATCTTAATTAATCTATATAAATTTTTTAGTTGTTAAAAATTTAAGGAAAAGTGCACTAAACACCCTCAACTGTTGACTAGTTAAAAAAATACACCCCCAACTATTAATTGTTGCAATTAATCCCTCCAGCGTTTAAGAAGGGTGACATTACACCCCTGAGGCTGACGACTGTCACATATGACTGTTAAGTTAGACGCGTATATTGCAGGTGACATTGAAATGTTAAAACTTGATCACTGGTTAATATAAATCTCTATTACAACTTAAATAAATTCGAACCTTGTGAATTTTAAAACTTAATCCAAATGTAATTAATAGGAAAACTTAAATTTAATTGAATTTTTAAACTTGTAAAAGTGATTTCATTTGCATTTGACTATTTTAATCATCATATCAATCATTTTGAGGGCATTCGGTCATTGCATGGATCATACTTTTGATTTAATGGTAAAATCTAAGGCTATCAATGTCTTTTCACGCAAGACCAAGGGCAACTAAGTCATTATACGAAAATTCATTAACAGTTCTGAAGGGTAGATAACTGGAAGGGGGTTGTTGAGCAGACCTTAGAGGAACATGGTGTAACATAGGCCATTCTATTTCACCCACGTGTAATTAGGCCAAACCTCAAGGGAGGTTAGCGTATTTTATCCAATATAAAGAGATATTAAGTATTTACTAACAAAACATACATTTTTGCATTCAAATACATGCAATTACTTGTTATCCAACAAGAAAATACAGATATTATAGAGATTATGCAAAATGCACACATACCACAAAACGCGCTGAAACATCTTTGCGGGCTTCGGTCACAGAATGTAACATACCAGTGGCTTCATCAAGTAACTGTGTAATGCCACAATGCAGCTTTGACAAAAGACCTCCGCTATTTCCTTTCTCTTCAGCCTTCCTTATAGTTACAGCCTAATATTTGAAAAAAATCCATCAAATTATCGCAAAGAAGATCAGAACATTAGCAACTGCAAAACATGAATGAGATAAGTGGGCTGCAAGTGGAAAATATTTTTGTTTTACAACTAATGCAGGCAATTTGAAAGCTAAATTCTTGCAAAAATTTCACAAGGTCAAAACTACAAGAGCTTATGAACACTAACCTGGGCCTCGGCCAAGCAAATGATGCTCATAACAGAAGGCATGCATGAGGAAGCTTCAAGTGGCCTTTCAGTTATCAACATTGGCAGTGGCTGTATATAGGGAAGGAGGTCATGAGCCAGATAGTGATAAACTCCAGCAGCTTTTCTGAAAAGGGTGGCAGACTCTACCAAATCTACAATAACTCATAGTGAGCACGTAGAATTATTACCAAAATCGCATGTAAATGTAAAATGCATATGAAAATTTACAGCCTACCTGCAGACATAACTTCTAAAGCCCATTCTCGAAGCATTGAACCATAAAGAAAAAGCGTCATACCAAGCTCAAACCGTAAACTGTTAATTTGAAAAAACTTTGGACCCTTGAGATTAAAGAAAGATGGCGAACTTAGAGAACTACTCCATCTTATTTTAAGGTCTGAAACCCAACGATTTTTCCTCTGGCAGTCGCTAACCAAATCAACATGGTGAACCAAGTTTTCCAATAGTGGTAAATACTGTTCCAATTTCTGAAGGTCCTGGAATACATAAAACATAGAATGAGAACAACCTATCATGTTCTAATAGGATAAAATGGTTTGAGTCAAACTGCAAGAGCATTTGAAATTTGAATGCACAAGTTTATCAATTAAATTCCATGCCAAAATCACCAACAGAGTTACTGAAGGTGCATACATGAGTACATTCATTTGAATGAAAGAATACTTTAATAAATACCAGGTTTGCCAAAAAAACAAAACGGAAAATTTTCACCTTTCATGGCATACCCATGTTCATGCTACTAATACATTACCTGTTCACAATGAGAATTCAACCCCCCGGACATTTCCCTAGCAATAGCCTCTGTAATGAAGCTGCTCTTATTAATGGACTCCTCAATTATTCTACGCTTGGAGCTTAACTCTTTCAGTTGCTCAAGTGTGCCAGAATCATGCGCATTGAAGATGTCTTCAAACACCACCTGTCAATATTGATAACGTATCAGAAGTGCCTTGTATATAAATGATTTAATCAGCCTTTTGAATGCAGAGATGTAAGCAGCATATACGCAATAGAAAATGTATACAATAAGATGACAGATCTTTTAAAATGTATGTAGGATACAAGCATGGCAAATGCAGCATCATATAATATTGCATTTTATGTATGCATCGATTATATAGAACAAACATATGGATTTATTAATTTTAGCATTCTAACACAAATAATTGCAGAAGGTAGAGGATGAAGCTAGACATACATCTGAAAATCATTATACTACATATAACAATGGTTGTGTTCTTTCATTTCCAAGTGTGTCAGACATGAACCCTATTTAGGATGTATTTATACTACATAAGTCAAGTTTTGGAGACTCTCAGAGATGTGTTGACCAAGTGTTCAAAATAATGGAACTTCTATTTCAATTGTAGACACGTCCAGAAGGTGTCAGACACATATTTAAGACTTTTCATGAAGTGCAAGTGTCTGACAATTGTATAAGATTTGTCTAAGACTGTTTGTGAAGTGCCAGAGCTTGACTCGAGACCTTCATAGAAGTACCCATATTTCTTAAGCAAATAGAACCACAAACTTACTAGTCACTCAAAGCGGTAATTGCAATGCATCAATTGAGAACTAATGTGCTCCAACAGGAAAAAGAAAAAGAGAAGGAGGAAATAATTTGAAGCACAAAATAAATAAACAACAACATAAATGTTTATGTATAGAAAACCACTAGGGAAAATTCCACTTACCTCCCGTGAAGTTTGTCAATATTCCACGTAGACCCCCTCTATGTTTCATAATCCAACTTACGTCCCATGTGGTGTGTTATTTTACCCTTTTTGCCAATGAAAATGTTGGCAAAGTTGACCTTCTGGGCACTGACAGGGGAGGTAAGTGGGATTATGAAACGTATAGGGGGTCTACGTCGAATATTGACAATCCTCAGGGGAGGTAAGTTGAATTTACCCAAAATATTATTGTGTCACATTTGATTGTGCTTCTTCGTGGACTTGTGGTCATATACTTGTCCTACGTGGATATGACACCTATGTAAAAATGTATGTACCTCTTAGTCAAATAACAGAAAATTACCTCTTTACCGATAAAAGAGTTAATTACTAAACATCAACTAAAAGGCAATGCCCCTTCCAAAAAAAAACCTAAAAGGCAATGCCCCAAAAAAATAATAATAATAAGGGTAAGGTGCAAAAAAAAAACCTCGCTATATACAAAATGTGCAATTACCACCCCTATTTTTCATTTTGTGCATATAAATCCCTATATCATCAACATTTGGACCAATTGCCCCCTAATCATCAATTTTGACCAATTTTTTTATAAAAACCCCAAAATGCCCTAAATGCTGATGTAAGCAAGGAAAATTTAATAATTCTCTATCCTTTCTCTCCCTTCTCTCTCTCAAAATACAAGTGGGTAAACCCATTTTCGGGAACTTTGATCAACACTTTGTATTCTTGAATTTCTAGGTTTCCAACTTCTTGTAGTTGAAGCACTTTTGGGCCACCGGGACTCTATTGTCATTATGGCTTTCAGTGTCCCTGATGATAATAGAAATCAAAAGGGCGATAATAGAATCCTTACAGAGATCATCTTTCCCTTGACTTCACCAACCAAACCATCGCCAGCAGCTAATGTATCAATTGGTTGGTCAGTCCTAATTTCCTCGGTGTATAAGATCTATATTACTCTGTAATAATGTTAAGCATAACATTTAAGTTCTAATATTATAGCTTTCTACTGAATCTATGTTACAGGTACTTTTGGGGTTATCAAAAAAAATAAAAATAGCTTTTCATTTCAGTTGTGAACTTCAATGATGTTGTATGATCTACAAGTGTATGAGCTTCCACTTGAATTGTTGGGCTTATCTTTTGTAGAACTGTTCTCTTATTGATTCACCATTAAAGTTCTAATAAACCATGAACCCTGAAAGTTCACCAGTATTTGAACACTATGAATGCCATCTAAGTACTCTCTCTCACTCTCTCTCACACACAGGATGTGTATGTGCATTTCAATCCCAGTATGGTAATCAAGATCAGATTCTTAACTAAGGCAAGTCGAGCAAAATTCAGGCACAATGCGATATAATCTAGATTAGGCTCTGTTTGGCTTCAGACAAACATGAGGAGAAAGAAATGGGAAGAGGGGTGGGAAAAAGAAAAGAGAGAGAGAGAGTTGCATGTGTGGGTATATATATTATCTGTTTTTTATATATTTTTTATATCATAAGAGTACTTTAGTCATTTCAATCTTTAATTTTGACTAAATTAAAGATTTGTCCATATTTGCACAAATTGAAAAATGTAGGGGGTTTTATGACCGGGTAATTGCACATATTGTATATAGCTGAGTGTGTTTTTTTTTCTTTTTGCACCTCACCATAATAATAATAATATGAGAAAAGAAAGAAAAGGAGGAAAAAAAGTGCAGCACGAGGTATATAGAGAATGATCAATGTATACTACAGCATATGACTAGTGTGTCGCATCTGATTGTCCAGAAATGGATTTTATTCAGAATTCGGATTTTGTGGAGTAAGAAAGTTTTGCTTTCTGTAAGATTCTTATCATCTATAGGATTTAATTTAAGTAATTAAGCAATCAAATATGGAATTTAAGATTGGGCTCATTACTAGTTGCAAAGCCTCAAAACTAAACACAATCATAATTTGTTAAACAGGGTATCTGATTAGGAGAAGGAAAATATATATATATATATATATCTATTTTGATATATTGTTCCAACATCAAAGTCACAATACAGGACCGCAACAAAGTGTAATCAAACTGACAAGTCAGTGAACTTCAATTCCTATTCTGTCAACATTTATATCAAAACCGCAATATAACTGCAATTGATCAATTCAGCAATTCTCCACTACGAAATTAAGGTAATATAGGGTTTCACAATTTATTGACTCCCCTTCTAATTACAAATCCAAGAACTCTTAAAAGCACAAAAATTCATATACCAAATAAAAGTTATCAAAAATTCAAATCGTCAAAACAGAAAAAAACCCAATTAGTCTAGCAAAATTCCACATATACCAAACAATTCAATCCCCGGTTTATGGAACTGGAAGATATAACACACACACATATGTATGTATGTGTGTGTGTGTCTATATATATATATATATATTTGTGCGTGTGTGTTTAGATAGATTGGGAATACCTTTTTGGTTTGGAGCTTCACAGGGTCCGCAAGATGCAGCATCATTGTACACTCTATTACCGCTACCAAATACTCTCTCTATCTCTCAATTGACACAACTACATTCTCTGTATATACCATATAGATATATACATATATATATATATGCATATACCCAAAACAAGCAAGCGATCAAATAAAGTGGAAATTGAGGTGAAATAAGCTCGAAAAGCTTTTAGTCTTGATTCAAACGATGATTGATTCAATAATTGTTTGGCAAAAGCGATATAATATAGAAGAATTTTAGTTATTGTAGAAGTTTGTAAGACATAGTCCACTCGGTTTATGGTCGCTTTCAGCCTCTCTCTTCCTACTCATTTCCGTTTCCTTCTCTACGAAGAATACCTATCACATTAAAACACCGCGAGACTGCGAGTGGAACTGCTTGACCCGCCCACCCGGCCCATATCAGCGCTTGACTCGCCCGCCAAATATTTTACACTTCTTTCTTTTTCCTAACCAAATTCACAATTTCAATTTTTTTTTTTTTTTGCCCTTGGATAAAAATAGTCCCTCAAAATATATACGTAGTATATATATATATATATATATATATATATATAATATATGTACCATTTGGACTAATGACCCATAACAGCAATCACTTTAGCCAATGACTTGTGCTTGCGGGTCGCAATCACTTGATGGAGCTCGCACGAAATTCAATATTCAATACTCATTAGTGTAGTGTAAAGTAGTGACCGACAATTGCTGCATATGCTCTTGCTTCTGAAAAAAAATATAAAATAAAAATAAAAATTGCTGCGTATGGGCCTCTATTTTTGTTTTAAAATGAAAAAGTGTTATTATGTGTAATGGTGGGTGAAATAAAAATAATATGTTTATTTAATCTTTATTGTATATGTCTAAAATAAAAATAAAAATTGCTGCGTATGGACCTCTATTTTTGTTTTAAAATGAAAAAGTGTTATTATGTGTTATAGTGGGTGAAATAAAAATTATGTATTTATTCAATCTTTATTGTATATGTCTTTCTACAGTGTATTGTATCAATTGATTATTTAAAAAGAGTCGATTAATTTGCATAAGAGTTTAATTATTTTTTTAAAAAAAGAAAAAGAGTCATATTTTTTTTCTTATCAATTTTTTTTCTTCATTAAATTTAATTAATTTGCATAATAATATGAAAATTACATTTTATTTGATTACACCAAATTTAAACATCTCCATCATCAAATTAATTCCACAGATATTCCATCACATATATCATGAAATCAGCATTGTCCTTTCTATTACGAATTCTTCTAAGGTGACTGGATTTGTGTGCCACCAACATTTTTGGATTTCAAATGTATTATAGAAGGGATATTGGTTCATCCGTGTCCATTGCAAAATGTGTATGCGCTCATCTTTAATGATCATATTGTGCAATGTGTTACACGTTCTCACTATCTTGTTTAGGTCTTCTTGACTCCAATAAAGCACCGGTCCTTACGCTATAGCCCACTTGATCTTTAACACACCAAACACATGTTCAACATCCTTTCTAATGACTCTTTATTTTTTAGAAAATCATTTATCTTTTTCAGTAGTTGGGTGAGGGATGGTTTGCATCAAAATTGTTCATTTGAGATATATACCGTCATATAGGTAATATCCTATCATATGTCGATGCATATTCACCTCATAATTAATCAGAGACTTTGCACCATCGATCAAGTTGTTTAAATACTGAGGAATGATCCAACACATTCACGTAATTGTTTGAACCAATCAAACCAAAAAAAATGTGCCACATCCACAAATCTTTCGATGCAACCGCCTCCATTGTGAGGGTAGGCTTACGTTTTTTCCCCATGTATGTGCCATGCCACGCTTTGGGACATTTCTTATATTACCAATACGTACAATCTATAGAGCCAAGTATATTGCAATGTCCTCTTCATTCGTTGTGCATTAGTACTGCTTGTGATACTCCCGGATTTTCGGATGTGGGTTGGCCAGGCCCATGCCTGATTACCCAAGGATATCAAACCAATTAGTAATAAATGAACACAGAATACAATTCAGAAAACAGGAATAAATAAATTGCTGAAAAGAAACTAGGATGATAATCAAAAAACCTCGGAATAAAATTTTATTAATAAATAATTATTTTGATACATCCAAATTCTCCATTTCTACTACAACTCGGGAATCCATCTAGTGGACCCCTAAAAATCCCAATTGAAATTTACATAGCTGGGAAGAAACCCAAGTCTAAAACATGAAAATAAATCATACATCGTCGGTGGAGTGAATAACTGTATCTGCTCAGCACGATCAAGCTCTAAGCTGGAACCGTCGAACTCCTGTAAAAATAAGAGTGGGTCAGGCCCACATGCAAATTATATTCTAACTGCAATCCATACAGAGACCCGATACTCAGATACACCCTAGATACCTCATAATATCTATTTAGTCCATAAGTATATATATATCCACACTAAGGACATTCACTGGACTACAATAAGGGTCTCAACCTGAATAGAAAACATCATGCGAAAATGCACCCAAAGGTGGGCATGAGTACCTAGACCTAACAGGGTACACCTACCTCCTATATCCAGCTACGCATCTACTGCATATACGCACCCTAACCAACGAGCCTGAGACTCAAGCTCATCTCGTGGTACCATAAAAAATATATTTAAAATTCATTCATATCCATCCACATAAAATCTAATAAATCGTTCAGCTTATTCAACCGCATAGACTTATATAAGAAATCCAATAAGTCATTCAGCTTATTCAACTGCACAGACTTAAATATAAGGAGAATTATGTTTTTATAATTCGTACCCTTATTCCAAAATAGGTAGGACTGAGTATTTGGAATCGGTCTGTCCCTAGTATGCCACCGTCCCATACCGGTGCATACAATCCACAAAATCCATATAATTAATAGAACAGGTAAAGCTGTTCACCAATTAAAATCCATAAGATGGGAATTAGCGTTTTGAGCTAAACCATATCTAGTATGTCACCGTCCTATACCGGTACATACAATCATCCATATCAATGTAAATTACAACATATAAATAATAAACAAGTAATTTGCATTCCAAAATCAAATATCCATATCATTGTAAAAAAGTGATTAAAGTTTCAGCAATTTAAATCCAAGATCCAAACCATGTAATTGCAAGAAATGGTTTAATAGTTCAACAACCAGCATCCAAAGTATGCATAGATCAATTTTTATAAATCAACAACTCTATTATGCATTTAAATAAGTTTTATAATCATGTTATAGTCCAAACAATTGCTAAATTAATTTAAGCAATTTAGTTCCTTCCATCTGGTAACAACGTACTAAGTTCTATACTCGTATTCTGTTTTCCTTTAACACGAAGCCATACACTATGCCCCAAGTCCAATTTGTTAATTAAAATACTTCACCATGTATTTAAAACTTAATTTGGAATCATGATATAGCACCTTAAATTGTCAAATTAAAACTAGACAATAAATCTCCTTCCAGCCGTTAACATTACGCACAATTGTTAAAATAGGCACTGTTAATTCCATTCACTCAGAGGTCAACCTTACTCAATTTAAGGATTTAATAACACCCAAAACCAGCCTTCTAATCCTTCTATGAAACCCCAAAATCAACAGAATCGTTCCCACGCTCCAAAGTATCAAACAGTTCGTAGGAAAAAAAATACTCAGAATGTGTACTATTGAAAAGAGCCTTCTCTAAAAAACTAGAGAAGGCTCTAAACCACCTAGAGCCTTCTCTAAAAAACTGGAGAAGGCTCTAAGTTACAAGAGACGTCTCCAACTAAGGAAGAACCTTCTCTAAGTTTTTCAAGAGCCTTCTCTTTTCCCTACTACACATCTTCTGCTTCATTTCCGGCACATCCGACCTTACTATTCTTCCTCTAAATTGAACTTACAGGTCTTAAATTACATCAAGTATTAATCCAGACTTCGATTTATTGCAGTAAAATTCAATACCAAAAATACCACGGTGGTGACTTCTATGTTAAAACAGAGACGATAAAAGCCATGCATGACAGAACTATTGCAGACAAGTTTTCACAAATAACAGATGATCAAAGTCAAATATAAAAATCATGCATTTTAAACAAGATTTATATTCATGCTATAATCCAACAAATTTTTAAAATTAAATTAAACAATTCAGTTCCTCCCATCCATTAACCGTATGCTAAATTGTTTACTTTTATACTGTTCCATTCTTTTACATAGGACATAAACCATGCAATAGGAGATTTTAATAACCCTTAAAACTTCATTTAGGAAACCCAGTACAGTCACAAAGCAGTTCAGGATCATTAAACCATCCAAACACTGCCCAGAAAACTTCAGAAAACAATTCTCGTGGGAAAGCCTGCTCTAAAACTTGTAAAGCAGGCTCCAGAAAACAAAAGAGCAGGCTCCAAATTCTTAGAGCCTTCTCTAGATAGGTAGAGCCGGCTCTACCTCTCCTAGATCCGGCTCTACAATGGGGAGGAGCCGGCTCCCTCCTCCTGGAGCCGGCTCTCTCTTTCTCTGAGAGCCGTCTCTTGCGTATGCGCTTTCTACGACCTTCTTCTTCAACGCCGGCCACTTCCAACCCTTTCTATCTGGTTTTAAACCGTTCCTAATAGTCTTAACTGTGTCCAGTGCAATCCCCATGGTGTGTTTATAGCAGTTGAAATCCAATACAGAGATTACAAGTTCTACAAACTAAACATGCTTTATGAACACAATTTAAATCAGACATGCACGAACTATACTTGAACAGATTTCAACACATACAGAGCATCAATATAGCATCTAATATAACTGTAAAACTCAATTCATGATTAATAAACCCTAGAGGCTACCTAGGTGCACAGAACACAAGCCAAATGGAAGGAGGAAGAAAAGAACTTGCCTTTATAGTTTTGGATTCAAAACTCTGTTGCCATCTTTCTAAGTTTTTTCCGACGATCCAATTCACTATTCAATCTCTTATTACTCTATCTTCCTCTCTCCTATGTCCGTCCTTCAAGCCAGGCCAAACCCTCACCAAAGTTACTCTGTTTGTTTCTCACAACCTCTCTCTGTTCCTCTTTGTTTTCTCTCATCAACTCTGAACGTAAATAGGGTCTGTGTTTGCTAAAACCCTAAGGTGCCATACTGTTATATATATATCTAGACTTAATAAAACCCTACTCCCTGTAGGACTAAAGATAGAGCCCTAATCTAAATCATAGTCAGCCCATAGAACAAAACCTAAGTTATCATCCACGGCACCTAAATTATAATCTACGGCTTCACATACGTGACGTTCAAAAGACTGTAAGTAATTAACGTAATTAAAATACAATTAATTAAT